TCTCCACAGACATTTCTCGCTCCTAAAAACATTGTATTATAAAATGTATTGTGACGTTACGACGCGTATAACTAAAGGATACATTTACTTAGAACTTTACAAAGAGTTTTAATGAAAACGTGGGTTTCACTCTCGACATACCACTAAACATATAGTTATCTCTCTTTTATCAACCGGGATGTGAGAGATAGCTATATGTCTTTCTAGATACTATCTGTCGTTGCCTGCCTGCAATAAATGAAACAATTGAAATAAGACTTAAAAAATATAAGTAGTGAAACCAATTTTAGGTTAGAATGCTATGGACATTGCCACAGCCAAAAAAAGGAATGCCTTACTGATAGATATATTAATCTTTTTGTAAATAGGAAAGAAAATTAGCAATTTTTCCTAAACGTTGATGCGTTAAAGCGAAAAACACTAAACAGAATATGCATATTTACCGAACGTTTTCCGAAGGATAAATTTCAAGGTAAATCGATTCCAACAAATTGCTTCGCATAATATTCCCATAGTAGAGAAACAAGGGATGTCTACCGAAGTGTTTTTATGACAACCGTCAAATTGAAATTGCGAAGGACCGATAGGTACACAAATTGTTTTGACAGCTTTTATAATTTGTTGGTTAAACTACAATTTACTTGAACATTGAATTTCCACTGTCCAATGTCGTTTTCGTCCCGTTTATTATTTTAAAAATACAGCCAAATATTTTTGTACATGCTTCAGCAATGGAACTCGAGCAAAACCGTTCTTTTTAAAATATAGCTACTTACAGGTGAAATCTAATTTCATAATAAACGGTTAAAATCACTATTTTCGCCAAGGTAACTAATCGATAAAAAGATAAAAGAAAAGATATTTTGTATCGCCAAAAATAGGCATTCAGCCAACTCAGCATTCTCCTTTGCCCAATGAAACGGAAGCAGTATCAGAAAAAGATTTAAATGTCAAAGTCAGATACGAGAGGCATTAACCCGGGAAGTGGCTCGATTTATTTTCATTTCTTCTTTTTTATATCTTTCTTATATGTGTTCGAGGACGAAGGAAATTTCTTTGTGTTTGTTGTTAAAGTAAAAATGGTGATCATTGTTCCAGATAACATTTGTCAGATATTCTTGTGACAACTTTAATTAAGTTCGGCGTAGTTATTTGCAAAGAATACTTTATATTTAAATAGCAGGAATTTTTACAAAAAAAAACAAACACCATTTTTGTTCAATAAAACTTAAACGCCTTAATAAAATTTTATAGCAATCTAAATAGCACTATTACAAATTACGTTTCGGTACGTTCCAACCCTTTTATAAGCTAAACTAGAAGCCTTATCTTTATTCTGCAGTCTTTGGAGACGTTACATCATGTTTTATATATATATCTAAACTTTTGTTTCCATTTCTATTGCTAATGATTACTTTACTAAAAACATAACCTTAAATTAATTTTTACTTCTTAAAAATATCAACACTCAACAACTAACTCAAAGACTAGTTTTTACTGCTAAAACATGGATACAAAAATATTTTCGAAACCCTTTAACAGAGATAAGTAGATCATTTCTCAAACTGACACTCGTATGTTGTTATGAAGAGCAAGCTGTTATAACTCTCTCAGTAATGTTAGCATTATAAGACATACAAAAGGGTTCATGAAAACAGAATGATATGCAGATTTATGATGTAAAAATATTGACGATTTATATCTAAGAAATCTATGACTTAAATATAGGATATCAAACTAAGTTGGTATCGAACACCACTAAACCGTATCCACGGCTTGTTACCAATGTATACTAATATAAAGAGGAAGAATTTGTATTTATGTATGTATCAAATAAATTGAAATACTGCTGAAGCGATTTCAAAAAATATGTCTCCATTAGAAAGCTACGTTATCACAGAGTAACATGAGATACATTACTAGAATATTTTATAATTAAGCGTAAACATCGACAAAACTATTCAGTGATAACTATTTGTCTATTCCTCTGTCCGTTTCTGTCAGTTATACCGTTTTTTGTTTTTTATTCCCAGCATGCTCGTATTCTGTAATGGAGATTGTCTTAAATATTGCAAAGCACTTGTCTGAAAGGATATTAGAAAATACGTGAATGGAAATACATTTGTACAATTGGAACACCATTTTGTAAGTCCTTAAAGGTAGATAAGATGGGATTTAGAGGATTACGTGTTCCCAAGTTACTTGCTTAATATTTTACACGTGTCCATTGTACTTGAGACGCATTAATGATTTAATCTCGAAATGTTACTTCGAAACGTGTCTAGTGTATAACGTTCCCAGTTTATATTATACCCTTTGTCCTGGGTAAGTGAACAACGCGTTCAAACGATTCGACTCGACCTAACTCTATACCAAATTGAATCGCCCCAACATCTCAGGAAACAGGCGTGACATAAATTGATTAGTACTTCGTCTAATTAGTGTGATGCCAGAAACCCCATTCTATTCTTTTTCGCCTTCGAATAAGGGCGTTGTTAGAGGGGTAATGTAATTTTATCTATTATCCTCGCTTGTGTCCAATAGGTAACTGTAACTCTAGTTTGATGCAAATGTTTATGAGCTTGCTGCCCATACTCACTTCGACATTTTAGTACTACCAGATGACCGCTTACTCTTTCGACCCTTATACCTTCCATTATTGACGTAGGGGTCTTCAAAATTAGAGTGAATAACGATATAAAGAGCTAGCACGTACCATATTTCTAACACATCAGGTGAGGTCGTGGTTAGGCGGTAGCTTAAGGAACATAAAAATAAAAAAGTCTGTAACAAGACGGACGTAGTAATAGCGCTTCTTGTAGAAATTTATCCCATCGCGTTAAAAAATCAATAGGATCGTATTTCCGGCAATTTATCCTTCGCTTCCGGGTTTGAAAGCAACTTACTTATCCGCTATCTTGTTATAGCCAGCTTCAGTAACAGGTTTTAAAGGGCAACTGATACACTAAAAAGGTTTTATAGGTGTTATTATATCTGGCCGTTAACAATAACTATTCTGTAACATTGACCAATTACCGTATTCAAATTGAGATCGTATTGTTATGCATGCGGGAGTACCCGAGATTACATTGATCCCGGCTATCTATAATCTAAATCTACCTCTTGTATCGGTTATCTTGTATATATCGTGCATATGGACTACATTTACACAACATACTTAGTTATGTGGTTACATAAATAACCTAAATATTTAAAGCTAAAGTATAATAACAAATATATATTTCGACACTGTTTAGTTAAAAAAAATTTTAACTATATTGTAGACGTCAACTTTACTTTTTGTTTTACCACCAAATACGAGTATGTACCACCACACTGCTTTCAGTATTTTTTTAACAATTTGAAATGTTATACCTTGACTATAAACATTTGACTTAGGTTTAAAAAGGTTGCGAACTTTTAAGCACGTATAAGTTTTTTTTAAGATAAGGTATTTTTATCGTATAAGATTCAAAGGATTAATTTTTTAATAGTTGCAAACAATCGCCAAAATTATAAAAGAAAAACATTCGCTACAAAAATTATCATAAGGAAAATGATACGATTTGGTTTAATTCTATATAAATAATTAAAATCTATCATTCAATTAACTACATTGTTTTGTTTTCATTTTAGGTATTTTTTGTGTCGTGTTATACGGATAGAGCCTCCAATTCGTCCATCTTTGCTCAATGGAATGAAAAAAATCAATACCTAGAGATATTTCGACGCACCGTTGGATACACGAGCATTTCTCGAGTTTCAAGTGGCTCTGACATATATACTGTTATAACTTTACATGAATAATATAAATATTTAAGGAAATGAATATTAAATTTAAGTATTACACTATCTCTTATATTTTAATAATCTTTTATTACCTAACTAAAGGCATTTTGAGATGACGGTCAAAACTCACAAGGTGCAATATTATGACCACACAGAAGACTGGCGTAAAGTAAAAGCAATTTAACATTTCGTCTAACGAATGTGCATGTTGGATGCCTATGTTTAGTCCGTTTTACTTTCCTACCTTTTTCTTAAGTTGAAAAGGGGAAGTGCATTTGACGGCGGAGGGATGCATAAGAACCTGAAAAATCCACCCAGCGCGTCCCCTTCTCTCACGCGTGAAATATAACTTTTTATCTCTGAACTCCATTTGTAATATCCAGAAAACTAAATGCACCATAGTAACTGATTTTGTTAATTAATAATGAAATTAAAAAAAAACAGTATTTTGTCACCAATGTAAGTAAAAAGTGAAGCGTAGTGTGTTCTTCTAGACTATGTTCTATATGTACGCTAAATTTTGTCGAGATCCGTTTAGCCGTTTAGGCGACAAACTGTAACAAACATCTATCCATCCATCGAAACTTTCGCAATTATTGTAGTGAGATTATATGTATAGTAAGATTGCAAATGCAGAGTTGCAAGCAAAACCTGTTTTGATTAGCGCGGGTAACGAATTTAAATTAATTCTATCCACAGCTAACAGATGGCGCAAATATGTGCTGTTTTATCGACTGAAATCCACCAATCAGATTGAGAAGAGTGTACTATTTTCGTTACGACATTTTGTTTCCACGTTGCAAATGTCATTGTGACTTTAATTTGTAAGCAAAAATAATGTTTTAATATCCAAAATGTTATTATAACACATAATATTTTTTTTTATATAAAAGCGCAATAATGAAATCTGTTCAAGTGAAAGAATGTTCAATTCAGTGCAGACTTTCAGCGAAAAATCACGACTTTCAATAACGACATGAGTAATATCTTGGATTGTTTGTCAAGTACTACTGAACAGGAATATTTTGTAAAAAGCAACAAGATGGATCTTTATCAAGCGGATGGATTACTGGTTGGTATCACATTTACAAGGTCGTTACAATTGCTCACTGATAAGAATAAAAATCGTATTGGATTGTGCCGCTGACTAGTGAAATGTCTGAAATTGTAAAAGTGCGGGCGCTGTAATAGACGTACCGTATAGCAATGAACGTTCTACGTGACGAACAGACCTCGTTGAACAGCTTTCGTGGACTTGTGTTCCTACTTTTACCGTTATATATTCATTTCATTTTCGGCTCGGTCGTTGCTCGCTCGCCGGTGTTTTTAACGCGCCCTCGGGTCTTACCTTATCTAATTAGCAAATTATCCATCGGGTAGCAAGGTTGTAGTAATTAAGTAGATCGCGGCGTAGTGTGCTATATCAGCGTATTCGGTGAGGTCGCAACGTAAACAAGTGTTTTTAAGTGCCAGCAAGGCACCATGCGGTCGCCTGCATTACCATATGCTTGTTGAAAACATTTCGATACATAATAACGTAACAGGACTGGTTATAAGTGATACAAGGAGTGTGTTTGTCATCACTTTCATCCCTTTCGCTTATTTCATCATTAACTGTAGTGAATCATTTGTGTTGATGGTTTTGTGTTGAAACATAAATGTCAATAAACATTCCAAAATGGATAAGAAGCTAGACCTAATGTCTCTACTTGAGGTGAATATTTTAATATATCTAAGATTATCACAGTGACATAATTGTGTTTTGTTGTTTTAATATAATATAATAGATGACAAATTTTACTCTATTTATTTATATCAGGATACTTTGCTATGTAAATATGTAATATTAAATCTGTGTGTTAATAAGTTTAAAGCCCGACATCCAACTTTGCTGAAACATTCACTTGCAGTCACCTTTCTCTTTACACTCTAATAAGAATAAATGAAAGTAGTATTAAGAGTGCAGATATGTAACAAGTATATAACCATTATAATTAATTAACAGCTAGAAATAACTACAAAATATTGTTCTTTTTCTCAATATTTCAAATAAAAGATTGCAACACAATATATCTTTAACTTTTTAAATAATTCTAACATAGGTGTAATTCTTTCATATTCTAAGATGTTTTGGTAAATCTAACTAATATTATAAATGCGAAAGTTTAGATGGATGGATGAAAGGATGTTTGTTAGAGTTTGTAGCCTAAACAACAGAACGGATCTCAGTGTGGAAAAACATAGATTACTGGATTTTGATTCATATATTTCCATGCAGACGGAGTCGCGGGCGAAAGCTAGTAGTTATTTAATATGTATTAAATCTTAGTGCTTATTGAATGAAAAATAAATAATTAAGTCATGAAATATGAAATGTTTTGTAAGGCTTCATCTCATTAGTAATTAGCATTTACTAAGCACTTTAATCATTTTTTAATTATGATTTTCTTGTAATATTCAATTTAAAGAAATTAACTAATCCATAATTATAATAATTACACAATAATCTTAATAGAATAGCATTAACTAATTTGTTTATAGGAAACGGATCATCATTACTTATCATGGGTGAACATTTTTAAGATGCTTTACAAGTATAATAATATTCTTGTGTTTTTATAAACATTTTAAAAGACAAGGCAATATTGTATTTAGTCTGAAAACACATAATAATAAGTTAGTGATACTGATATTAAGATATGTGTGAAGTCAACTGACCCTCAGTGGGCCAGCATGGTTGACTGGCCTAGTCACCCTTTACTTAGGGTAGGCTCCATGCTTCTTAGTAAGGATGTATAGGAGACTGGTGATGATGTTAATGATATTGAGCAATGCTTACTCACAAATACATGTTTCAATTCAAGGAAAAGGACATAATGAAATACTAGGTGGTGCTTGCGACTTCGTCCGCATGAAATTAAACTATATATTAAAAAATGTACTAAAATTCAACTATATTTAAAAAAAGTTATTGCAATTTATACAAAAATGCAAATCTTCTCTCTTAATAATTTTAGTTTAATATTAGTATTTACAAAAAGATCATAATATTTTCACTAATGTTGATATTATTATCATATTTATTTACTGGTACCATATTTGTAATTTTTTTTTTTGAGGATATTTTCAGTAGGATTGTTTCAGAATATAGTCCTTAAGAGTAAAGAGATTCCGATACAAATCAACGCTTCCCTACTCTCAGTACAGATATTTGTTTGGAAAAGCAACAGTATATATCACCAATGATTCTATAACCCTTACAAGAACATTTTATTTTGCACACAATATATTGAAAATGATGCAATAGGCTCAGGTCTTAAGTTATCTTATACAAGTTGTTGCTTAGAAAAAATAAAAAAGTTTAAATGCAAAAGTTTAGATGTAAGTTTGGTAGACTTTGCCACCTAAATGGATGAATGGATATCTAAGAAATTTGGTATAGATGTAGAGCATAGTTTGGAAGAATACATAGGCTACTTTTGTTTTTTTAAACATACATGGAGTCATGGATGCAAGCTAGTAGTGTATATAGATGTACATATTTATTATGTTTGTGTGTAGATGGGATAGGCCGTCACTATATACAACTTTGTTAGTAAACAATTGGCTTATGCAACACCAATGTAAATTGAAGTAACTTTTTTCAATTTAAGGTATCATTTGACTTTAATTAAAAATTTATTTATGAAAATAAAAAAAATATTTAATATAATGTTTGTATTATTATAAAATTTATCTTTTACTTATCGTAATTTTTTTTAATGTTGATTTCTTAATGAAATGTGAATTCTTAATAATTCCCACACTTTATTAATTACTTTTTTCTTTATTTTTTAATGTTTTTGTTTTGTTGCAGGGTGACACTTGGCAAGCTTCGGGTGACTTGTTGGAGAGTTTCTTCTCACTAGATCAAGGCTCCTTGAACTTCCTAGAAGAGTCACTGCCGGATTTCAATTTGGAACCAGACTGGGTGACACCAACGGGAGGACTGAGCAGTTCTGGTTCCGATAGTGGATTATCCAGTGATCATGCAGAACTGTAAGTCATTTTTAATGTTTTTTGATTAAGTTTTAGCTATTTACAACCACCAAACAGTGCAGTAGTGTATTACAAAATCAATGGTCAAAAGGTAAGCATTTTTAAATGGATTTTTCACAGTGTAGATAAGACCCAAAAACCTGACAAAAACAAGATGTGTCTGCCAAATTAAACACTATCCAAATCCTAAGATAGATAGACCAGGAGGTGTTCATTATATGATGTTTTTGAAATAATTGATTGCACTACCTTTGTAACTTTGATGTCTATACCTAACCGCACAACCAATACAATGTTTCTTAACGATTTTCAAATTCTTCAATTGAAGAAATTTCTATAATTACTTTTATGGTAATACAAACTAGAGATGTTCATGAATATTTGATTAGTAATAATATAAGTGGCACATATGACACAACACAGGGTCAATGAAACGCTATGTGTGACGCGTATTGAATATTCTACGCATACCGGCACAGTACCGTGCTTGCACACGATCGGAATATTAGATCATACTACAGTATGATTAGTATTTAACTATTTAATCACACCCTTTATAGAGGCAAGTCGGCTTAAATCGTCATATTTGGTCATTTTAGTCGTCCGTTGTCTTTTCTGAACACCCTGTACATATCCGTAATTGTCTACCCTTCTGTGAAGGGTAGACAATTACGGGCGTGATATTTTGTTTAGTTTAACGCAGTATTTATGTAACTAGGTCACATATCATTGAAAGATTGCATGCAATTATATTCTATCTCGTTTTGTTTATCTATGAAAAATGAGATAGCAAATTATCGCTTATATGCAGTGTTGCTTGCCTACCGAACGTTGTTTTATTTTGTTTAATCAGATTCACCTTCATCACCTTATCATAACTCGATGTTGACGTTAATACTATTTTGTAACGCAATACATTGTATACTAAGTAAGTTAACAATATCTGGTTGCGCGGCAGTGCACCCGCCGAAGCGAGCACGGCCAAACGGATTATTCCCAACCGTCACCCCGCTCTGTCATGTGCAGACCGATGAGAATAAAAAGTTTCACCCGTCTCACCTTTTGCGACGAAGGGACGGTTGGACCTTTTTTTCATAACAGTTCCATCTGTCACCTTAATGGTGATAGTGGGACTAAAAGGTGAAGCGGATGAGACTTTTTATTCTCACGTGGGGACAGAGCGCGGTGTTGGTCGGGAATAATCCGGCCAAACACTATTTTCTCGAAGAGCGTCCAGGCACTTTTGACACCCTTGTGTATTCGTTGTATATAAAGAGAGAAGGTTAAAATTTTGACCATCATAGATATGCCGGAAAACAGTTTATTGCCAAAATTGCCTTTAATTAAACCTAGTTTACTATTAGTCCCTTTTACAGTACTTCACTGGAATGTACAGTACTGCTGACGCCTTCTTCCCCTCTATACCTTTATTTTAGAATTTAGAACATTCTTTAACTGAATATCGATAGAGTAAATGCTTTCAAAACTTAAATACATGAGTCATTTAGAAAACATGACTCAAAAACAACACTAATTTCTTTTTAAGGTCATATTTTGTTTTAGTATGTGACTCATAACCGTCTTCTTACATTTTTAATTGTTGCAATTTTTAAGTCTTTATGTGAATGTAACAATTTGAGGGAAAATATATTCTTAGAAGCATTTACCAGTACGATTGTAAGAAAAATTGTAAAGTAGGTCGTAGTTTTCAAAGTGGAATTTTTACCACCTTGATATTAAAACCAGAAAGTTGTCCTGATTATGGAATGATGAAAGAGGAAAATACGAAAATAGACTGCTTCAATATTTATTATTAGTGTCGACTAATTACATAATTGTCTACATAATCAATTTTACAGGTCAGGTTAAGGTTATTAACGGGCTAGAAATCCCTGCTTCGCATGGTTAGACATTTAAAAAAAATTAATGTAGTCTTTGTTACTGAAGCATAAAATTGGTTAAAGCTAAGATTATTCCTTACAAACGTAAAAAAACCAAATCTATCTCTTAATATTAACTTAGATATATGTAGACGATGAATTTATACATGCACTATATTATCGCCATAAACATGGAGTGCGTAGTTCACACACTATCTTTGTTTTTGAACTCTCCCTGGCTCGTTCGAAAGATAATTTTTTTATCGGGAGATACCTACTGAAGAAAAAGTCCGCCTACGAAATGATTATCATTTTATTTACCCACTAGTTTTGGTCCACGAATATGCCCGCGGGCAATTAAAAAAACAAAAGTAAGTAGCCCATGTGTCCTTCCAGGTTATCCTCAAAAACTATGCCAAGTTTAATCGAGATCTGTTCAGCAGTTTAGGCTATAAACTCTAACAAACATCCATATATCTATCTAAGTTTTCGCATTAATAATTTAGATTTTAATTAGAAAGATGTACACGATACTGGAGGACGTTTAATTCCAAGCCATTTTAATTATCTTGACACAATACAATGCAATTGAAAACTTGCCATAGCAATACTTAGGTGCTAAATTAAGACTCCTATGGTGACAGTTTGCTGTATGATTATCGAAGTTGGAAGCGAATTTAATCCTTGGTACAATCAGCTGCATAAATATGAATAAATTTACAGTCATTAAAAACTTGTATAGACTTTCTATTTACGAATACGTATGCACGTATTCGTAAATAGCATGTATTAGCGGTCGGATTTGTACGCCTATTTTTGGAAACCGAAGGCATATGCCATTTTCTGAAGCTTTGTAAATCTATACTTCTATATTAATATTGTAAAGAGGAAAGATTTGTAATTTTCTGTATTAAAATAACTCGAAAACTATTGGGTCGGTTTCAAAAATTCTTTTACCATTAAAAAGCAACTATCTCTGAGTGACATAGGCTATTTTATTTTTATTTCACGTTGACGAAGTCGCAAGCAACACCTAGTGTATACATATTATGCAGCTGACTGTACATGCGTGTATATCAATCCGTAATCGTAACCAGAGGCGAAATCTAGTCTGTGATATAAGAAAAATTACGTAATATAGACATGAAATACGTTCACTGCATGAAACGTGAATATATCACGTTTTAGTTTCTGTTTCACTGTAATGAATAACTATCTTTGATATCGAATTCGGTAAGTTAATTGTTTTTCCTAGCCTAGTGACTACTATTTTTTTTTAAGACTGGAATCTTACAACTTGTATATTAGAAAAAAATGTAAAAACCATTTTGGTTTTTACCAGAAGTTAGGTTAGATTTTTTTGTCATGTTTCATATTAAATGTAATCTTATCTTATTTCTTCCTATTATTATAAATGCGAAAGTTTAGATGTATGGCTGTTTGTTAGAGTTTGTAGCCTTAACTGCTTAACGGAATTCGATGAAATTTGGCATAGATATAGAGTAAAGTCTGGAAGTACACATAGGCGAATTATTTTAATTCTACGCGGACGGAGTCGCGGGTCATAGCATGTTTTTAAACATTATCTACAACTACAACCGTATCTCATTACAAGTATTGTGCAATTTTTGCGTTGATATGTCTCGACAACAAATTCTATAACATTACCCACATCATGTAGAAGCCCTACGATATTTTGATATTGATTCTTTCACAAGAAATATAAACACGCTACTTTACATGTTTTCCAATCTTATGTTCCATGTACAATAGACAAAAAAAAATTAACCATCACATCTATAGTAGTCTAATATTAATGTTTTTAGAATTTACTAATCGGTTTTTATTTCACTCCAATTGTGTTTGTAATAGTCATATGGTGGTCACGTACATTTCTAATCAACTTAACTTGTTACAGTGATTTTGAGCAAGAACTATCACCGTACCTCATTCAAAACAACGCCGAAGAAAAACCAGCATTGGAACCCATGAGCCCTGAGAATAGTCAAGATGTGATCATACAAGACGGTAACGATTCTAGCAGCAATGAATCCGTAGAAGATGCGATAGATATGGACCACTTCGAAAACATTGTCATGCCCGGATTCATTAACAAAAATACATTCCAAAGCCCCGGTGAGTCATTATTTAGTCAGCCGTTCTCTCTTACAGTACACAAGGACTCTACCTGTTCTCATATTGCCATTATGGACTTTATTCCACAAATACTGTAAAAATACTCGATTGGAGACATATGTACAATCGCGGTAATTCTCGGTGCTCCACTTACAAATCGCCAACCTTTTGCGACGAGGGGACGGTTGGAACTTATTTTATTTCATTATGATACCATCTGTCACCATATTGGTGATAGTAGCACTAAAAGGTGGGACGGATGTAACTTTATACTCTCACGTGGGGACAGAGCGGGGTGACGGTTGGAAATAATGAATTAGGTAACAGTACGTTGCATAAATGAAGAGGTATTAATAAAAAACAATTAGCAAATTTAAAAGCATTCTATTGGTTATTGTAACGAGTCGTCCTCTGAATGTGTACAAAATGTTCAAACGATTGTAGGTTTCAAAAAGGACCACCGCCAGATTACCTGATTGTACATACACGTATCATAGGTTATTAGATGATTAGTACGTTTATTGATAAAATTGGAGTAAACCAGCATTTTTTTTGCTTTTGAGAAATTCGAAAGTCAATAATATCAAGTTACCTGAATTTCTTTAAAAGCTCCTCTATTCATCGGTATTTCAATGAGCACTATATTTCTATGATTAAAAGCATTACTACTTTGAGTCGAATCAATTTTTATGGCTCAGTGAATATTGCAGTGATCGAGTTTGCAATTAATATAAATTGTGCCGGGTTCGGTTGGCTCGGGTTCTTTTGTGCGTGAATTGGAATAAAATGGACAATGGTATTCTGTGGGATATTTGAAGGCTACTTCGATACAATGTATTGTATTTTTATTTGTATTCATAAATAAGAATAAATAATATTCTTTTACATGTTTTTTAATACATAACTTTTTTAAACAAAGTAATCGTTATTAAAATTATTAAAAACTTGTAAACACTTGCATTATCTAGTACCTAGATAAAATTATGTCATCACTCAATTTACATTAACATATTTTATTATTATACAAGCTTTCGCCCGCGATTCCGTCCGCAATGAATTTTTAAAAAAGTTAGTAGCCTATGTTTTCTTCCAAAATATGCTCTACATCTATGCCAAATTTCATCCAGTTCCTTTCAGCCCTTTATTCTACAAACTCCAACAAACATCGATCCATCTATCTAAACTTTCGCATTTATGATATTAGTAAGATTTATTATGTCTAATTCTCTCTAATGTTACATCATATGCCAATAATAAATGTACTAATTAAAACAATGTCTATATTGCATTATATCGGAGAAGAGATATGCATGTTCTCAATTTCTCAACCATCAAATGATATTGCGTCTCGCACAAGTTCAATAGTGAGTCATGATAATATTGCGTTTTAGTTCGTAAGACGCTAAAAACAAAATGGCGTCCTTCCATCAAGTGACGTGGATATTCCGTACGGGGTTTTACCTGATACATTATGCAAAGTTCAGGTCACTTGAATGACTTTGGAAACACTGTAGCGTGAATTTCCTCATCTATTTTAGCACATTATTCACACCAAAGTCCCATGAACTTGTTATCTGCTCGTATCTTACACAAATATTTACTATGTAATTTGAAACTTGAGAGGGTATTGCCTTTAATGTATGAAATATTGACATAACATTTACTATGCTCGATGCCATGTTTATTTTGTGTTATTTTTAGGCAAAGGTAATCGAAAACGTCGTCTATCGCATACGCCCCAAGTGCCGATCAAACCGAAAGTCCAAAAGCCAGCTGTCAGTTTACCCGTGAATGTACAAAAACCACAATTAGTTGTAAAGGCGCAACCCCAGAAACCACTCAAGGTTACCAATATCCAGGTTATCAACCAGCAACCGACGAAGGTTTACTCGAAACCGGTAGAATCGGTTGCTCCCCAAAGGCGGGTTATCAGGGTTGCCCCTATGGCGGGTAATCCCAGATCGATCTTACTGCCAGTAACAATCAAAGATATGAAAGATTTGAAATCTATTAAGATTATAAATGCTGCTGATTTGAAGAACGCGTCTAATATAAAGCTCGCTGCAGCTAATTTGTTGTCTCAAAGGAAGCTGCAGGAGTTGAAAGTGGAATCTCGCAGGGACTATGAGTACGAACACGGCGACAATAATTGCGGTGAGTTCTTTTATTGGTCGTACTCGTTTGGCTCACGTTGATTGGACGTAATTGTTTGAATTCGGTCGCATGGCTATTGTTTTGAGTGGTCGTTGCACTTCGAATTGAATAGGCCCAATATTTATCATCAAACTGTTATGAAAATTTAGCTTTGCTTTAGTATTGATTTTTTATTTGCAGTTATTTAATTGCAAAAATGTGATGCTGTAGGGTAACTGTTATGAAACGGGTTTACGTAGTTTGCACATCGTAACTTCTGTACTAGTACACTCCAAGTTAATTTTTAATTGGACACCAATTAACGTTTTGGACGAAATTGTAAAGTTGTAATGAATTAAGTATGCTCAGCTCAAAGTTAAAGTTTTGTGTCCTATCAGTGTTTACATTGTAACATCTCTGTTATATCCCTTTGTATGTAAATGTGTCGTTCATTTAATATCTATATAGAGCTGTTCACTTTGTAACGCACGAAGCAAGCGTATGCTGACAGTTCAATCTCCGTTCAGACAGGTTTATGTGAAACGTTTGGCTTCTAGAATGTACTCGTAAAGATTGTTGAAATTTAGCTACTTTAAGATTCACTATATTAACCTTTGTAAAGCATCTAGTATAGGAATCGTAGAAATTTAGCGAAATTTGTTTTGATATACTGACCGAAAGAACTTTCTTTTTTTGTATATAGCTAAATCTAAAATATCTTTTACAGACGATTCAGGTAGTGATAGGAGCGATGATGACGATGATCCTAAAGATAGCAAACTACCCGATGGTAAGAACGGCTACCCACGTTTAGTACTAACAGCGGAGGAGAGGCGGCTGCTGGCTAAAGAGGGGATATCCCTCCCCACCAGCTATCCTCTCACCAAGCAAGAGGAGAGGGAACTGAAGAGGATCCGCCGCAAGATCAGGAATAAGATATCCGCCCAGGACTCCCGTAAGCGCAAGAAGGAATACGTCGACGGACTTGAAGATAGGTGAGAAATTTAATTTAACTACATTTTCGTATTTATAGTTTTCTTAATGCCAAATTATGGTAAGAATAGTTTCTGTTGTGGTGTAGGTTTTTATGATCTATACTAATGTTATGAAGATTTGTTGTTTTGTATTTTTGTATGTATTAATACCTTTCTCCCGCGTGTCCGTCCGGGTGGGATTAACAAAAACATTGTAAAATATAGCATATGTTCTCACAGATAAATTACCCTTCCAACTGTGAAAGAATTTTTAAAATCGGCTCAGTAGTTTTGAGCCTATTCATTACAATCAAAGAAAGTTTTCCTCTTTATAGTATTAGTAAGAAAATATCTCAAAAATTACTGAACCGAATAAAATTTTCTTTCACAATTAAAGTTACTATATCAGTAACATAGTGTATATTTTTATTATTTAACAAAGACGAAATCGCGAGCAACAACTAGTACCATAGTTTATAATTTTCTAAATACAAAACTAAAAACAGTTTATGTTGTATAGTTTCTTGTAAATCCAAATTTTTTTGACGAATAGTTATTGTTTCTCTTGTCTATGGCGGATAGTTTTTTTGTAAGTACTTTATGTGATTAAATTTTTTTTCTCTAGTTTCGTGACTGAAATGTGTTGGAACAATGTTAAATATTGTTAAAATAATCTTAAAAAGAATGTAATAGGTGTATTGCAAATGGAATTCTCTTTTATCGTTATGAATGACGTCCATAATAGGTTTAAATATAGCGTGACGTTATATTTTCCTTGTGTACTCAATTGTCCCTTCAAGGTTGGTTTGTTATAGGCTTTTGTGTTACTTATGTACTTTAGTAATCATTCAATAGACTGTCCCAATTATGGTGAAGTGGAAATCAAATCTTTAGGGGGCTATCCATCCTGATCCGTTCATTTGGTAAATGAAATGACTACACTTGTAGCCATTTTTTGACGGGTCTGAAATTAAGGAAATAATTGTTCTGACTTTTCTGCTCGAGTATACTTTACAGAACATCCTATTTTACTTATAAATGCGAAAGTTTAGATGTATGAGTGGATGTTTGTTAGAGTTTGTAGCCTAAACGGATCTCGATGAAATTCGGGATAAATGTAGAGGGTAGTCCGGAAGGTTACATAGGCTACTTACTTTTCTTTTTTTTTAAATTCCACCCGGACGGAGTCGCGGGAGAAAGCTAGTATGTTATACAAATACTCTGTAGTAAAATTGACGAAATCCAAATCCATTTGATTTATTGTAAAAACAAACGAAGCAAAGTATCAAGAATGGTCAATAAGTAGTTGTGTTGTTGGTCAGAGTGAAGCAATGCACTGCCGAGAACCAGACGTTGATGAGGAGGATCAAGTTGTTGCAGTCGCAGAACCAAACTCTCTCGGCGCAGTTGAAGAGGTTACAGGTAAGGCTTTCATTATAAAACTTTTTTTAAACATTTTTCCGTAAAATCTTCTTAATAAGTCCAAATCTAGATGTGGTTCGACCATACACAATCGTCTGTATCTTTCCCTATTGTATTGACGTGATTTTTTGTCTTTTATTTTATTTTTTATCCAGAAAATTTTAATACTTTATCTATAGAAGTAAATTCGTTTTCTACTGTACGTTATAAATTGTATTTCCGAGTATTGTACGAATAAGCTGCATTATTTACCGTAGAACCGATAAAGTGAAGATAAGTAATATAAAATGCATTTCGCACGTGATATTCCCCATCTCAGCTTGAAGACGACACGAAAATTAAATGGAAATGTTGATTATATGCAATTCCCCACCGTCTTTTGATATCAGAGGGATTATCTATACTTCTATACTATTATAATAAAGCGTAAACACACAATTCTTTGTTGCCTAATATCTTAGCAATTATAGCATACTTTTCAATTCTTTTTTTAATTAAAAGCCCTACATTAACGTCACGCTTAAGGCTATATATTTTCACGCCTTCAAACTTAGGGGGTAAATATTTTGGATAAAAACCCAAATGTGGGAGAAGACCATAAGTTGCTGCCAACATCAAGGAAGCAAGGTTGCCATGGTTTGTCATTATTTTGACATTTGCAATTGATAATTTGACTCATGTAAACAATAAAATAAAATTTTCATAACTTTATACGAATGAAGTCGCACGGGAACATCTAGTCCTGAATTTGTGAGAACATTGTAATGTCGTCGATAGAATTGTATTAGATTTGTGCAGCGTTTCTACCGGGCGTTGTGTAAACCAACAAATCTCATACGAATTTTATCGATAACATTCTCTAAACTGTCACGCAAATATTCGTAATACACCCTCAGATATTCTACATGTTTCCCACCAGTTTACAATATATACATCTCGATAAAACTAAACTAAAAATAATGACAATTTGTATGAGTAGGTATTTGGAAAATTAAAACTCACGGTTATATTCAAAACACTATATTTTATTAGATGGATTCTATTTCTTTATAAAATAAAACCATTGCAAGGCAAAGATACTGAGGTAATTGCACTTAACAGAAATCTATCAAACTTGCAATAAAATCGTGAAGTAAAGACTTTATTAATTTTAATTACGGTATAAAAATATCTATTTGACATACATATTATGCTCTATGTCAGCAGAATCAATTAAATGCAATGTAACAATATAAGAAAGTAACCCAAATAAATCATTTAATTTAGTATATTAAACATAACAAGCATTACCTTTCCGATAAAAAAAGAATTATCAAAAACGGTCCACTACGGAATAACCGTAATACACATAAAAAAAACATGCAGACGAATTGAGTAAATCCTTTTGTGAAGTCGGTCAAAAATTCTAAACCAATACATAAATGTCAATCTTTTTAATACATACTAGCTGTTCTCATGCGGCTTCATCCGCAGGTATTTATAAAAACTTCATTTTATCGTTTACATTTGTCAAATCAATTGCAAATGTCAAAATGATGTCATTTTGCTTCCTTGATGTTGGCAACAACTTATGATCTCTTTCCCACATTAGGGTTTTTATCCAAAATATTTACCCCCTAAGTTTAATAGTATGAAAATATAGCCTAAAGCGTGACGTAAGTGTAAGGCTTTTTATTAAAAAACGAATTATTCAAAAATATGATGTGATTGATGACATCTTAGGCAACAAAGAAGTGTGTGTTTACGCTTTATTATAATATATATAGAAAGAATATAGATAGATAAGTATAGATTTGGTCTATAGTGACCAATCATATCAAATCTCTTTGTCGACTTTTAATCAGCCAAAATGGATGGATTAATTTAATTTGTCAGGTTTTGATGCCGCACCCTCCGGCGATAAAATAAAACATAAATAGGGGTCAATAAAGTGACCCAATTAAAGTAACGAAAAATTGAAACGGGAGAAACGAGTCGTTTTTGATGTTGATGGAAAAATTAATCTAAAACCTCATTTGGAATTCAATATTTTTTGAATACTTATATGTGTTTGTAATCTAAATACGAATATCACAATTAAGTATACTAACGAGATGTTCGAATATTTCTTAATATTTTGCGAAGCGTATAGTTGACCTCACTTGTAGCGTAGACATACCATATGAAATAACAAGATCGATAGTAAATATCACCTGTTTAGATATTTTTTTAATCTGTTTAAGTTTAAGGGGTTATCCTTATTACCGTTGTTATTAAGAGGAACATTAATTTCCTTTAACTCACGAATTTTCTTCAGAACAAGACATTAGGACCAAAAAGTACTTTAACTTTATTTCTGAACCACTCTAATGATTTCGTTCGGAAATTTTTACAGTTAATTTATGTTTTAAAATTGGAATTCATATATTAAAGGCTGTATTTACTCGACATTAACAGAGCGAGTTTAAATTTAACATTGAACGTTTCCGAACGCAGTTCCGTGTTGTCGCTCGCTTATCGTTCATTCGTTCATTTATCGTTCAGTGGAGCGGCTCTCGTGACTCGCATTGTCCGCATCAAATTTACTGCACATTTAAACAAAAAGCTATCGCATAATGGCGGATGCTGTTGGATTTTGGTTTAATTTTATCTGAAAATACAATTTTGTCTGTTTACATTTTATAATGAAATCTCCTGTAGACATGAAGTGATTAAAAACTCCTGGGATTTCTACCGAAAGAGGACGTAAAAAGTTTTGTTTGTTATTGTTTTATAAATCACTAGCTGTTCCCGTGCGGCTTCATCCGCATGAAATTATGAAATTTTTATTTTATTCTTTACATTTGTCAAAATATAATAGCAAATGTCAAAATGACAATGACATGACAAACCTTAGGAATCTAGCTTTCTTGATGTTGGCAGGAACTTATGGTCTCTTTCCCACTTTAGGGTTTTTATCAAAAATATTTACCCCCTTAGTTTAATGTGAAAATATATAGCCTAAAGCGTGACGTAAGTGTAAGGCTTTTTATTAAAAAAAAAAAGAATTATTCAAAAATATGCTGTAATAGCTGACATCTTAGGCAACAAAGAAGTGTGTATTTACGCTTTATTGTAATAGTTTAGATAGATTCGTCGTAGATCGACCTTATGAGTTAGATTACTACGTACTACTCTACACACACTACACTACACTATTACTACGTATATTCTAGATATATTTTATTTAAATGAATATGTCTTTTTCATATACGGAAATGTTATTTTTGCCATTTATCAATTCTTTTGATAAAGACGTGTAGATAAATTTATTGTAATTATCTTTAACCAATTGTTATTGATTCTAGAAGACTTACAGTGCTATTGTCTTCATATTATTTTATATTAACAGTTCGTAAGTTTATAAAGTGACAGGCGAATGCACTTATCGAGGTAATTTAGTTTGGAGTTTTTATTTTAATTTCTACGTAAACTTAAAAAACCTTTTCCAAGAATAAAAACTTCCAGACTACACTCACAAACGAGTCTGTCTTTCGCTCTCAGAAACTAGAAGGCTTTAGTTTTTTTATGCTGTTAAACACAGTCGTCCAACTGTCTAGACCGGGCTAGAAGTGGCCTGCACTGATTGCATTACTACTGGAATGACTGCACGACTCGGTCGGGCAAACGTCTGTGGGAACATGAATAATGCAAACTCCTCGAAAAAAGTAGAAACGCGAACGCTTAAGGGCTTATTAGAATGTAAATAGCATGGCCATTTCCAGTTCTTGAGTTCATAGAAAGTTTTTCTTTTGATTATATCGAATTAGTTATATTATATAAACAAGCTATAGTTATCGCACTGTCGTCTCGCTTTGATTCCTATGAGATTACGGTGTACACAATAACAATCGACAATCGACAATAGCACAACACTTATGCGATAATTTAGTCAAAGGTATACGAACTCTTTAAAGATATTTTTAAATCGAACATATAACCAAAAGTAATAAAACAAACAAATTTTGCAATAATGAAACAATCTAATCCAACAACCTTCTTAATTACAATAAATATATTTTTTTCAAGTCTAAAGGGTATAGTTGGCTAGCTTAACTTGTATTAAAAAGTTAGAGGAGTTTATGTGGAACTCGCGTTAATTATTTCTCTCTATTGCCCCCTTAATATTGCGATTACTTCTTTCCATAAAGCTTATCTACTTAACAGGCAATTTGACTTCAATATAATCTTAACTAGATTTCGCCCGTGCCACCGTTCGTGTGAAATTGTAAAAACATAGTAAGCAGCCTGTGTTCTTCCAGATTATGTTCTACAACTATGCCAAATTTCATCCAGATCCGTCCTTCGGTTTAGGCAACAAACTCTAACATCCATCCGTCTAAACCAGTGTTTCTCAACTTTTTTTTGATGCGGCACATATTTAACGATTTGAAAATTTGGCAGCACACAAAGAAAAAGATAAAAATTATTTACTTACAACACACTGCATTAATAGTTTATGACAAAAATATGCAAAATTTGGCGGCATACAAAAGTGCCGCGGGCACAATGGTTG